AATAAAGTTAAATTAAATAAAGAAATTCTACTATAATCCTAACATGCGGTAAGTCCGGATAAATAAACACACACATACTTAATAAATAAAGTTAAATTAAATAAAGAAATTCTACTATAATCCTAACATCATGTGCCACAAAATACAGGTGGAGTTTATCAATTACATTTGAACATGCATAAATAGTTATAATATTATTACTATTACTATTAAAATAGAATATGATTTCATTATTTAATAAATAAATATTTCACTTTTTATGGAAAAAATATATTTTATTCTTTATTTTTTTTAACTTTTCATTATTTAGCCTATGTGATTTTATGATTTTATGCTTTAGTCTACAAATATTATTTTAATTACATTTTAACCCTTGAGTTCTAAAAAATGAGAGAGAATCATGAAAAAAAAGGGGAGAAAAATACTTTGGCCAGCGACATTCCAATCATAAAAAAAGGATTTTAACAGGTTTGTTTTAAAGAATAGTGCTTAATGGTGGTTATTTGTGTTTTAACCATGTTTGAAAAAAGTAATTAAGACAAGTGAAGTTTTTTTAATTCAAATTTTAGTTTTTGGAGCCATTAAAGGGTTTTGTTATGATGGAAATGCTTATTGGATTTTTAAGGAAGTTTTTATAATATTTTAATGTTAAAATAAGTTAAAAATTAAGTTTGGATATCCAAAAATTTAGCAAAATTTTCCAAATATAAGAGCTACTTAAAAGATTATCATAGTAAATAACATGTTATTTGCTATAATTTTTATTTGATGAGACAATGTGTTATCTATTAATTTTTTTTAAAAAAAATGTTAGACCCAAATACACTTAGATTTTTTTTTAGAGGTTAGACACGCAGCATAACATCTTATAACCATAAATAATTTTTAATTTAAAATAATTTTTTATTTAAATTAATAATTTCAGTGCAATTTAAAAAATCATATTATGCCACTCTTAAATTAAATTAGAATTTTTATAGTTATATTTTCAATGACGTTTTTAGTAATTATACATGAGCATATGCAACAAATTGTAAAAAAAAATGCATTTGAATATTCAATAAGAATAAAATATATATTTTTTATATAGTTACCATTAATTAATTATCTTCTTATAAAACCAAAAATTATGCCCCATGAAATAAATCTTTTCCCTTTATTTTAATTACCTTGATCAGTTTTTATTTAAAAAAGACGATTTTAATAAATAAAAAATGCATAAATAAGGAGTGGGACCTAATTTGACTTAAAAAAAATTTCTACTACACTATTTAAATGCTTTAAAATCTGAGATACATTTATTTTAATAGCCATATAATTAAATAAAAATTAGCTTTGATATTTGCCCCGCCACATTTGTAAATAACATAGCCCAAGATTCGGTATAGAAAGAAATCAATGAAATAAAATGATATTATACCAAGTAGAATAAACTTTGAACTAGCTAGTCTCCTAATTATTGAACAATTTTTAATGTAGTTCTCTAAGAAAAGGAATCCTCTCTTGAGTCTTTAATGAATAATTATCCATGTTGTAGATCTAGAATTAATTTAAATTTTATGAAAAGTTTTCAAAAAAATCGTACAAATTAACTATGACATGGACCGATCTCCTAAATGGGCTCTTAACAAATACCATTATTTCACTAAATTTAATAGAGAAATTTGACTGAAGATATTGTGAATCTTTGAGGAGTTCAGGAAAATTTTCTGTGGGATAACTGAGACTTTCCTTGATGTATAATTAGGAAAAAGATTATGAGAATTTATTTAAAGGATATTATTAACAACAATTGCATCATGTAAGTAACGAATAACAGAGTATTTAGCATTCATTAAAAAAAAATGATAAACAAAAAGGTTTCCAACAGTGTAATGATCAAGCTGCTTTTAGAGTGTTTATTGTATATCATCAATCAAACAAAATCAATGCGCAAAATTCTTTTAAAAAGTTATTCATGGAAAGAAGCAAAATTCTTAGATTGTTTAATAATTTAACTGTAGTTAAATCTAGTCTAATTTAGTGAGTAGGCTAAAAAAAATTAAAATTTAAAATTTAAAACCTGGTTAGAGATCAAGATTTTTAATTAAAAGATATAAGATATTAGCATAATAAAATTTAATTAATTAATTTTTTAGCGATTAATTGAATCGATTAAATTCAATTCAAATCGACCATGTGAATATAAAAAAATTACTGTTTTAATAAAAATATTTAACTTAGAGTGATTTGATAATTCAGTAATAATGTTTTTTCAACACAGGTTACAAATGGCATCTGACAACAAAATGAAGGACGGAGGCATCATAGGAAGAGCTTGGGCACCCAATCCTTGTAAATTTCACGTGTTTTTTGCGGAGCCCACTTGGTACATGCTAGTGGCCAGCATGGACAACAAGAAGAACCCGCAGGAACAAGTCAGCAAAGAAGATGGCCCACCAGCAGGTTGCGAGCTTAATGATAGTGGCTAGCCCAGGCCGGACCGCGAGCCGCTACCAAGTACAGAGAGACCTCAGGCTCCATCATTTCCGATCTCAAGTGGGACCCGTCTTCCAACAAAATAATTTGGCTTGGCTCAGCTAGATCTAGCCGGCTTTTTATATAATTTTGCAGCAATCCTATAATTTGGAGAATTGTCTCTTTCTCGGTACCCATTGGTCGGTTAGTTGGGCCCACTTCTTAAACTAGTCAAAATTCTGTAGTGGCAACCAAGTATTGGGTTAAAATACATATATAAAAAAAAGTATTGAGAGGTTTATCTGTAGTGTTTCTGTAGCAGAGCTTGTTTTTTAAATATTTTTTATTTAAAAATACATTAAAAAATATTTTTTTATTTGAGTATATTAAAATGATATAAAATTATTAAAAATAATTAAAAATAAAAAAAATATTTAAAAATATTTTTCAAATACAAATACAGCCTTTTACATACATTGGACTTTGAAAACTTTTAATTTTTCCTTCAAGTATTAATTAATTTGGCATCAATCATTTTTTAAAAGCTATGTATTTAGTAGTTTCCTTTAGTGAAACAAGGTTTAAGTCTTAATAATTATAATTTCTCAACAATAATTTTATAACTGGAGAAATTTAAATCTTACTATGCAGTCCAAGATTCATTATACATCTCACTTTAAAAAAGTTATAGTTAAAAATACAGAGAAACTCAAGAATAGAAAATAACAAACCAACCAAACTGAGCCAGCTATGACATTACGTGCCTAGTTATTTGCCAAGAAAACACTGAATCCAAAAACTAAACGGGGGTGGAAGGACTGGCTGGAACATGAACGGGGCTTGAGCTCCCCTAACAAGAGACCGAGCTGAAAGAACATTTCGCAGCAAAAAAAAAAGAGAGAGTGAAAGACACTATGATTGTGAGCATGGAAACGTATCGGTCACGAGCAAAACCGGCACGTTAAATAATATTTATTTTTTACAGGCGATTGAATGAAAAAGGGTAGTGTTTGGTAGATAGAATAGTAGCTGTACGGTAGTTAAGTGGGGACAAAGCTACTAGTCCTTGGTATGGTGGTAATAGATTAAATTGCATGATAGTAGAGTGATTAAATTTTTTTAATCTCACAATAAATTTTTTATTTATTCTTGAGATCTCATCCATTAATGGTGAAGTACAAGATTTATGGTTGGAGGGGATGATGAAAATGCTTAAATAAACAAATAAAGACATTTTTTTTTATATACAAAACGCTAAAACAATACTAAAAAGGTCACAATGATTTTTTCGGTAGTGGAACTTTTATAATATCTTTCCAAGGGTTGTGACTTGCATTTTATATATATATATTTGAATTCAAGAAAAGATATACAATGAAAAAAACAATTCTTATTACATCAATCTTATTATAGTTTATTTAAGATTAGATTGATAATGAACATAGTTTTGACGTGTAAAAACTTTACTAAAAATGCCCTAATTATTGGGGAAAAAAATTAGTAACTTAGATAGTAAAGTTATTCTACAACAAAAGAACTTATCTTAAGGGTTCTAGGGTTATTGATCAATGAGTTTGTATCTACAATGTTAATTACTCTGGAAAAATCGGAGGATAAGATATTAATTCGAGTCTCATCTTTATAAAAACTATAAGAAATTTGAAATATGTTTATTTAGAATGAAATTGTATCAAAAGTTTAATAATATATTTGACAAAAAGAATATTATGTATTTTACTCTTACATGTATTTAGAAGAAGGATTATTCCACTGCATCTGTAGTTAGCTTAATTACAAGTAATTTAGTAAACAAGATTAATCATACATAGATGTTTTATTTAATTCATTAAGAAATAGCCAATATCCTTGCGCGCATGCATGCAAGCTCACATGTACATATGAATATTCTTTCTTTAAAAAATTATTGAGATTGGAGATTTATTACATTGATTTCTCGCCATCTTTTATAGTATTGACATTGGAGAGTACTTGAGAGTCTTGTTTAAGTATAAACGGCATGCTTTTAATTGCACATGAAAGGCGACTATAAATCTTTTGCAGCAAACTCCTTTCATGTAAAAAGAAAGCAGCTTGAGGTTACCATTGATCTGGTATATGGCTATAGCTATACTCATTGCATAGGCGACTATAAATCTTTTGCAGCAATTCCTAATAGTTCAAATTTAATGAAATTAATTAATTTATAGGCAATTGGATGGTTCAATATATCCTATAGAAAGCAGAGAGTAAGCTGCGTCGCCAATTCTATGGCCAAACCTCTTGGTGTCGGACCACAATACTGTGATATAGAGAGACCATGAGTAGATCCAACATCATCATTCTGATTTTATTACAGTTAAGACTTCAAAGAAATGGTGGGGACTAGGAATGGAGTTTAGGGCTAGCAAGGGCCACCATGCCACTTTCGATGAAAAAAATAAAAACAAAGAGAGAGATGATATGTTTATGCGTATCTTTTTGGCTGGTGGCTGTTCCATTACGTCACCACTAATATTACACCATTTTTTTTCTTTTTTTATTCTCTCTTTTTGGGGTCTTTCTAGCTAGCCTTGCTTGAATTTTTTTATGCTTTCTTGATTGGTCTGTTCCGTTAGTTCATCTCTTGACAATCCCACCCTTTAAACACCCCTCTATCTCTCCCTTAAGAGAAGAAGAAGAAGATTTTTTGTGTGCTGGCTTCTCTTCTCTTTAGGGTCTTTATCAGTTGCGGGTAGGGAGAGAAGGAGAGAGACCAAGAGAGGAGGCGTTTTGGGGTTACCTGGCTAGCTAGTTTCCATTTTTGCCACCTTTTTTCCCGCCCAAATCTTGTCCACCAATCTAGCTCAATTCGATAATGAGAGACAATGAGAGCTTATGATGTTGAAAAACATTTATCTTTCAACAATATTGAATCATTGATGATAATAATATTTGGTCATTAGGGTTTTCTTTCTTTTCTTTTCTTTTTCTTTTTTTTTTTGGCTTTTCTCTCTGTTGATCTCTCCTATTTAACCCTACTTATTTCCCATTCTTCCATTCCTCTCTTTCTCAGCTTTTTTCTTTGAAGAGTTTGTGTCGTTCTATGCTTGCATCCTTGGGATCCATTCCGACAACTAGACAAGCAGATTTGTTTTGTTGGAGTAATAGAACAGGTTGGGGTTCAATTCTCAAGGAGATGTTATAAAGTACCATAACTGTTTCTTTTTTCACTTTTGTTGTCTTGTTTTCTTGTCTGATGTTAGGAGCTTCCTCTATAGTTGGAGTGAAGTTGAGAGCTAGCTACCACAAGTTTCTGTATCATCATTCTACTTTTGGAGAAAAAAGGGTTCTTCTTTGTTGAATTCAAGGCAGTTTCAATCAACAATACAGATCTGTGGATTGCAAGGACTAGAGATCTTGGTTTTTTGCTCTGTGAGCTCTCTCTTCTCTTGATCTTCATATTTTTGCTTGTGCATGGAACATCATAACACGTGGATCATTTTCTTCACAAAATCAATGTTATTTCATGTTTGAGAGTGGATAAAAAAGAAGGTGGAGAATGGATTGAAGAAAATATCCATGAGGTGGATGTTTCTGCAGATCTATATCTCAATAAAGATCAGCATTTTTTCTACTACTAAAAAGAAAAATAAATTTAATTACCTATATGCATCTATACTAAGTAAATCCATTCTATTGATCATAATAATTAACTGCACAATTTCATTCATCACATGTGTTTTCCAGTCTTCTATTTTTTACTCCTTTTTCATGGGCTATATTGCTTATTTTTCCTTTGTTTTGTAAAATGGAATGCCCATGATTCTGCATCATAAAAGTGATGCTGCATGATGGTTATGACATGTGAGTTGTCTTTGCCAAAATATTATCATCGCATGCGCGTCCGTACTCCATTGAAGAGAAGAGTTAATTTTAGTATCTCGCATTCAACATCTAAATTAATCATCTTTAGAATTCATCATGCACTTAAAATTCTTGTTTAGTTTTGTGTTCATATATTTAAACAATCTTTTTTGCTAACCTTACTGTAATTCTTTTTTTTTCTTTTTCTATGATAAAATTGGAGATAGAGGAAGAAGAGAAGCTTTTGGGCTATGTATGCTCAAATTAGAAACCTGATCAATACAAGCAAATTCAGTACTTAATTTATTCAACTAGTTGCATGATCCTTTTTCATAATCAATTACATCGAAAATGTTGATATTTTTCCTGATCTCTCATTCGATCATAAGACCTTAATTTTTACAATGGGAGGAGAAAATTATATATGTCAATTACCTCAAGTTCATTTTGTTACAAGAACATTGTTTGCTGTGATGGTACTTGAAGTTAATTTCTTCATTTTTCAGCTCTGAAATAGTGATAAATTTGATATTGTGCTTGGAACTACTCGATCGCACGTAAATCTTGCGTGCAACATACTCTTCATTGCATATAGGATCATAAACTAATCCATTATCCAGTATATGAAATGAAAATTATACGTTATATTCACTTGATTATAACATAGAAAAAAAAATTAATGGTTATTTACCCTCTTTTCATCTAAGTAAATACAATTAAGTGCTTGACATCACAGTTAACCTAATTAAACTTGGTGTTGATATTGATTATAGTTTGAATTGGTCGTTCCAGAATGAAGTTACCACAAGAACAATGTACTTCATTTCAAAGTAAAGAATTTTGAGCAATGAGATATACGGCAGTTCTTCAGAAGGAGATATGCTTATTGCTGCCATAACTTTGTGCTTCTGTTAAATTTATTCATGGAGAACAGTTTTTTATCATAACATGCTGGCTGGTTTCGATCCAAATATTTGACATTTGATCAAATAATTTCTTCGGGTTTACAAGGCAATATTTGCTGTTTTTTGCTTGAACTTTAACCCCTTTCAGATTTTTTTTATGGTTGCTGAACATATAAATCAGGAATTTGTATGTAATCAAATTAATAAAGGAAAGGTTCGGTAAATTAGATGTTGAGTCTTCCAAATATTTGACATTTGATCAAATAATTTCCTCGGGTTTACAGGGCAATATTTGCTGTTTTTTGCTTGAACGTTAACTCCTTTCAGAATTTTTTTATGGTTTCTGAACATATAAATCAGGAATTTGTATCTAATCAAATTAATAAAGGGAAGGTTCGGTAAATTAGATGTTGAGTCTTTCAGCAGATAAAATTAAAATCCAAATTAGGCTGATAATATTGAGTCCGTTAATTATAAAAATGTACATTTTTTTCTTGTTTTAGTTAATTTGATAATTGAATGAAAATGCATTCTAATGGAGTATGCTGAATGGATTTCAGGACCCAAGACGCAGCACGAGAATATGAATACTTTTACACATGTTCCTCCTGGTTTCCGGTTCCATCCTACCGACGAAGAACTTGTCGATTACTACCTTAGAAAAAAAGTGAATTCAAGAAGGATTGACGTAGATGTCATTAAAGATGTCGACCTTTACAAAATTGAGCCATGGGATCTTCAAGGTATATATAGTACTGCATAATTCTTGCAAATAATTAATAGTGATCAAAATTTCCAAGTGTTCGAGCGTCAGGAAAGTTCACTGACCATCAAATTTTTGCTTATCTTGATGATTTAAACAGAACTATGCCGAATAGGAACCGAGGAACAAAATGAATGGTACTTTTTTAGCCACAAAGATAAGAAGTATCCGACTGGAACTCGCACAAATAGAGCCACTGCTGCTGGGTTTTGGAAAGCAACAGGTAGAGACAAGGCAATTTATTCGAAGCATGACTTGATCGGAATGAGGAAGACCTTGGTCTTTTATAAAGGTCGAGCTCCGAATGGGCAGAAATCGGACTGGATTATGCATGAATACCGACTCGAAACAGATGAAAATGGGACTCCACAGGCAAGTATAGTAAGACGTTTCTAAGTCTTAATGCTGAAATTTTATTTTATTTTTTTTGAAGCATGAAAGGTTTTGTATGTAATTCTGTTTCAGGAAGAAGGTTGGGTAGTGTGTAGGGTGTTCAAGAAAAGATTACCAACGATGCGAAAAGTGAGTGAGCATGAATCAGTCTGTTGGTATGATGATCAAGTTGCATTCATGCATGACTTGGATTCACCAAAGCAAAATTCTCAGCCTGATTTGGGTTATCAATTCCCATACCCCTGTAAGAAAGAGATAGATTTGCAGTACCAAATCCCTCATGATCACTTCCTCCAACTCCCACTTCTACAAAGCCCTAAACTGCTGCAATCAGCTCCAACTATAAGCTGCAATTCCATCAGTGCTGCATATGGCCTGGACATAAACCAGGCAAGCACTATACAATCCTCAACACTCACACAAGAAGATCATATTCAACAAGCACATGAGCAAAACTTTCCCTCTATCTATGGTAACAACAGCATTAATGAGCAAGCAGTTGATCAAGTGACAGACTGGAGAGTACTTGACAAATTTGTAGCTTCTCAATTGAGCCAAGAAGATGTGGTCAAGGAAAACAACCACCCAAATGCCAGCAACAACATCTTCAACACATCATCAATCCATGCACCAAACATATTTGTTCGACACTTGAATAAGCAAGATACATCCGTGCCAGAAAATGCCTCGACGTCAACCTCCAGTTGTCAAATTGATCTATGGAAATGATGATATCTCCAGTTAAGAACCACGCTGCATGGTATATACTAATCATAGGATGTTTCAATTTGAATGCAAAGGGAAATTATGATTCTAAGTTCCTGTACATAATAAAACTTAAAACAACATATATATAACCTTTAACTGCTGTTGTCCTAGCTAGCATGTATGTTAAGTTTATACTGCAAGACTAGACTGTTGGGGAAGAAAACAAATTATGTTCAATTTCTTGTAAGATGAAATATTATTTCTTAGGTGATTTGTGGGTGTGGAAAATGAAGTTGAAGCAATTAATCGTTTGTATGTGTAAAGGCATTTTAATGTAGCCTCTATGGTTTAGCAGCCATGCAGATGTGCTGTTTATGGAATCGATGAGGTTATAGATTTCATATGTGTTTGTATTTTCAATTTTTATGAAATCATATTATAGTAAAGCCTGTCTGTACCTCTTGACTTGGTTTCATTTCTGCCTTTGAATATTATTTGCTTATGTTGTTTCAAAGAGTGCAAAATTATTATTAAACGGATCGTGTAACAGGCTGAATGGTTTGACAATGGTTTTAACAACATCATTTTGAAAAAAATAAAAAATAAAAACCAATCCAAATCTTGATTGTATTGCTCGGGTTTAACTATGTTAATTCCATCTGATTTTCTTAAAAATCGTTTTTTGAATTGGGTTTAATAACATTGCCAATCCGAGTCACTCGCATATAATTGAGATGATATCCTAGTATCAATTTCTAGTATCAATTTTTATGCATGGATGAATATTGAGTTCAATGACTTTCCAAATCTGAAACACGTACCTGCTTATAATCGGAGAACTAGCCCAGCAATATAAATTTGAGACACCTATTTTAGTTACAGATGGTCTATATATGATCAATGTCGTTTTTAATGTTCTACATGCAACTCATATTTGAGACTTCCGCCCTCTTCTTATACATGTTGGCATGATACGAGTACCATTAAGCCGAATACCTATTTCTTGGCTAGATATTACATTATTGGACTGACCACATTATCTTGGGGCTTCTTAATTTTATTATATGATCTATGGTAGAAATAATTAAGTTATAGCAAAGATGCAAGCATGCAATTTACAATATCTTTATATAATGATGACATAATTTCATGATAAGTTAATGCTTTGCTGAGAAGTTTGGCAAATGCACATAGTGATGAATTATATATGTTCCCTTCTCGAGCGTAGAAGGCACTCAAAAAATCCAACCAGCTTGATTTTTGCATGAAATCGGCACCACTAGGAAGGTGTATGTAGGTTTTCTTGAAGCTGGGGTTTAAGACAAAATTAATAAGCAGATAGGCCTTGGATGAGTATGGAGCAAGATCTAACTTTACTTGGTCAAGAAGATAATCTCAACTACTCAATAAAGGTTGAGAGATGCGAAGGACGCATGGCAGACAAGTGCATTTCAAGAAGGGCATGACTCAATTGGTCATTAACCAAAGAAAAAAATCCAATTTTATGATGGCCCATTTTAAGGACCTAGAGCAAATCAAGCTAGGTAACATATGATCATTGAATTCAAGATCAGTATAATACAAACCTTCGAATCATATTATGTTAGAACACATGCTTCTCGCTTTTGCATTTAATCATGCCTCGAGGAATTCAGAATTATTTTGTATGTGCCTTTTACCAAATAAATAAATCAAAGTTATTAAAAAGTATTAAAAAATATTAATTTAATATTTTTTTTTCAAACCAAACACACTCAAATAAAATTTCCATCACAATGCTAAACAACCTCCATATACCCTAAATAGCCAATTAGTCTAATTTTGGCCCAATGGTTTGTTCTCTTTGATGTAGAAAACTCATTTAAAAAAAATATTTTGTCAAATATATATTTGATTATCTAGAAAATGGTTTGACATTCTACATGTTGGTTCCTATTTGTTAAATCAAAACCATATGTTCGAAATAAATAAGTTTGATTTAGCCTATGTCAAAAATGGCTAAACCTAATTAATACTAAATCTTTTTTATAACAAATGAGATTTTTTATAACATTCTAGATGTCCTATATTAAGGACATGGCTTAAAACTACAAAGAGAGAGAGAGAAAGAGAGTTATAATTATTATGTTATTTACATAATCTAAATTATTGAATTTAATGATGAGATTAGGGAAAATGACCAATAATATTCTCATCGAAAATAAAAGATCCGAATCCAAATAATTACTTCGCTGAACGCATAAAATGTAAGAGATTACCATACAAATATGAAAAAAAATATTAGTACAACAAACTTTGATGCATAAAATGAAAAAACAAATCTTACATAGAAGCTATAAACAACTTACTATCACCACAAAAGAAGGTAAAAAAAAAAAAGATAAATAAATTAACATCTCTTAACGTCAAACAGTCAAAACCAAATTGGAGACCTCAAGAATCCACAAAAGTTTTGGTACCAAGAGCACAAACACACAAACAAAACAAGTACCTACCTTAATGAGAATGAATACGTACTCATATTTCAAAGGCCTCAAAGCTGCAGGAAGGAGCAGAGAGCACAAAAGAAGAGCAACTAACAGCACCGTGGATTAACCAAGAACGTGAAAAACAGAGTGCAAGTTACAAAGGAAGAGTCAATATATAGTGGGGTTGGCGTAAAATGTGAAGAGTTTATGTAGTACTTAATTTGCACTGATGAAAAGGTTCATGTACTGTGGAGTTCTGGTGAAGTCAAGAGCATGGACGTGCCTTCAAAATATAGATGGATATCTCTCAAGAACATACTCATTGTGCTGGGTCTTCTCTGCTGATCATATCTCACTAAGGAGAGAGTCACAAAGGGACAGAAAGAATCTTAGGAGTAGAAAAGGCAAGTGAAGTGACTACGTTTTGACATGGACATTTCTTTATTTCAACCCGTTAGATTTTTTATTTTTTGGTTCTTGGATGCACAATCACTGCGTTTTCCTTTACTAGACAGAGTGCCTGCGAAGTCAGAAAGATTATCCATACGCATGAAATTTGATAGCGTCATTTGAGGGGTGTGACTGAATAATTAGGGTTTCATTAAGAATTGTTGTTTGTGAGGGAAGATAACATGATATAATATGCACTGATATTGAATCAAGTCCATGTGACTGCTAATTATGTTATTCTTTCCACCCACAAATCCCCAAGTCCATGCCTCCTGCTGCCCCCACCAATCTCTAAAGTTTTTTGCATTACTTTCCAGTCAAGTTCCAGACCACATGAAACCTGCATGGTAGAAAGATAGAGTCGGTAATGAAGCTATGATGGTGCAAAGCGTTATGTGTTTAAAAATATATTAAAATTTAAAAATTAAAAAAAATTATTTTTAATATTAACATATAAAAACAATTTAAAAATATAAAAAATTATTTTAAACTAAAAATATTTAAATTTTTAAAAAATACAGTTTGTATAGCGTTTCCAAACACATTTTAAAAGTAATAAATTTAGTTTTTAGTTATTATCTCAAAACAAAAAAAAAAAGATATACAAAACATATTTCAATATCCTTTTATTTTCAATAGAATAAAAAATTGTGCTAGTATACTTAGTTTTATATTTTTAAATACATTTTTGTTTTTTCTATATATATCTCTTATATGTGCCACGAAATTAGCGAAATGCAACCTAAATATTTAGGAATCTATCCACGCTTATCGGTCCTTTCGGTAGCAAACATGTTGTCTGGTTACAATCAAAGCAACAATTGGATGATTGATGTTTCCTTCATTGTTTCCCTTAATTCTCACATAATGATTTCACCAGAAAGTAATAGCCCAACTCTTTGGAGCTTTCATTCATCTGTAAATTATCTTTGACCAGGATCCACAGTACTCTCACGGTGTTCATCCCTTCCATTGTGACTTCCCTTTACCAGGGTCCATTAGAGAAAAGTTGCAGCTTGGTCCAATTTCCCTGAAGGAGTTAATTACCTTAGTAAGTCTAAGCCCATCAAAACCCATTTCAAAGAAGTTGGAACCCAAGCCCTGCCAAATCAGGCTTCCATGATCTGCCCCAGGTAAGATACATCTTGTTCGGTCAGTCTATACTTTCTTTCTTTTCTTTTCTTTTTTTGATAATTTGGAACCATCTATGCCTCGTCAAGAACCAAACTACGTACCCGAAGCTTAAGCCAGCAGGAGGTTACAGAACTGGAGTGTATTTATTGCTGTGGTGCCTGGCACCTAATGATTTTAGCAAAACTTAGAGTAGAATCAAAAGAAAGAAACGCTCATACAATTCGATCAAAAATCAAGCTCCACCATCATAGCCTGGAATCGTGTTTACTTCCACTTAAGCACCCATGTTGCCATCTCTATGATACCGTAGACAAAATAATAACCAAAATAAGTTCCTAGTAGCAAAAGGTATGATTGCGGTGTTGTTAAAGAGGCAAAAATTTAAGAAACAAGTGAAACACAAATGTGATCTAAAAAGATATATCCAAATCGTGTGTTTAAAGAGAGATGGTTTTTGAGAGAATGGGTTAATCATCATCAGTGTGTTTGCTTTTAAACGGATAGAGAACAATGGACTCCCGGTGAACTAAAATACAAAGAAAAGGGTAAAGATCCCCTAGGAATTAAAAAAAATTATCAATGACACCAAGAAATTTTCAATGAACAACAATGAAGTTCCGACTCTAATGTACACAGCTGAATGAAGTCTGTAAAGGGCACAACTCCTACAAGCCACCACTGACAACAAAACTATAATCAACTTCCAAAGCAATCACAAGAAACCTTTAGCTGAAAATGAAACCGCGCAAAGTGCCATCAGCAGAGTGAAAAACAGATTAGGATTGCCATGGAGAATCGATGCTCCCGATTTGTGGCTTAGATCCCTGAAGATGTAAGACACAGTACAAGTTATTCCATGAGAAGAAGAAGAAAGGGGGGGTGATTTAATGAAATAGTTTCTGATACATACTGCTGTTTGGAAGCAAGGGCACCACAATATAAAACATTTTTAGGGGGGGGCATCTCTGTTTCGCCATTTTCTTCAGGATTGATGATTCTCATATATGTTTCTTGGCCGAGATACCATCTATCAAGATTTTCTACTCTCAGATTCCATACTCCAGCATTGTCAAGGGAGGCGAGAACTGCTGTCCATCCCCCAGGATAAACCTAAACAAAAGAAAAATAAAAGGACTCGTTAACAAAACTCTATTACGAGTTCAGGATCAAGGTACTGCCTAGAATTTCAGGA